TGAAAACCCATCTATTCCATGCGGCCGGCCTGGCGTAGTTTTGATTGTGTTTTGGTAGGGGTTTTTATATGGGGTATTTTAGAGCAGGCTTTTTATTTAATATTTATTGTGATTTTTATTATTGCCTGTTCACCGCCCTGAGTCCCGTAAGGGAGATAGGGCGGTATATAAATTTAAATAATAAATAAATAAATAAATAGGGGACTCACCTTCATCTCCTGGTATTTTCTCATCTATCTACCTCAGTGCTTTTCTCACTTGCTCCTATTATCTGTTTACAAGCAAGCAGTGACAAAGGTATTGATACCATACACTCTGAGCTCAAAGAAGAGAACAAATGATAAACAGTGATGGAGGGCCAGAGTGGGGGAAGCAAGAAGAAAAGCATTCTGCCCATAGCACACCACTCACAATAATTTTCAATGCTGTCTTAATGTAATTTTCCCAATTTTTTCACTTGGTTACTAGCACCTCTACATTTTGCCTGAATCAAAGAATAGAGAACATACCTATGATTGCTTTCATCACGGGATTCCACTTCCTCCTCCCCCTCCTCCTCTTCCTCCTCCTGTTCTTCTTTTTCATCACAATTGTTCTTGTTGAGGTTGTGACAGATATTATGGATTGCATATACAGACATGCTGGGATGTTCAATGAGCAGGTTTTCCAGTGGGCTGGTTTCTACTTTGAGAGTGGTTAAACCACCTGCTGTAAAACATGGAGGGGGAGTGATGAACCAGCTTTCTTCCAGGGGGCATGAGTCTAATTGGATGAAGCAGGATTCGCTGGCATCTGCCAAGCAGTCCAAGGAATCAGGCAGACAAGAGAAGATAGGGGAGTGGTCATCAGGAGGTGGTTTGCAGATGTTATCCACTTCCTCCTCTTCTTCTTCATCAGCAGTAGAGAAGCTTGAACAGGAATCTGTCAGGAATTACAACAGTCTTTGAGATATACGAGAGCTGATGAAAGTAACGGAGACTGGATATTCTAAAGTTAGACTTCTAATAGCCAGGAACCTCTATATAGATTAACAGCATATATCTCAACTCATAGAGGGCCTAGTTATGGAAGATTAGTTTATAGCAGTGGTGGCAAACCTATGGCACGCGTGCCAGAGGCGGCACTCAGAGCCCTCTCTGTGGGCACGCGCACCATATCCTGAAGATGGCAACCGTCCCTCTTCAACCAGCCGCCTGCTAACTTGCTGAGGTCCCACATGGCTGGATGCATCCCAGCATGGCTGGTTTCCCTCCCCACCATCCCATCTCTCCTGGCCTCGCATGCTCTCCTTTTCCCAGGCACGACCCACTGCATCACCTCCTTAGCTGTCGGTCGGCTGGCCAGCTCTGAGGCAGCTTCTTTGAACTGCTGGCAGCGGACTGCGGAACCCCAGAGTGGGGCCAGCAGGCTGTGGCTGCTGACAGACAGTCAGCCCCCATGCGCTCGTTGGCCTCTGTGTGCGGAGGCCAAAGGTGTCAGACAGCAGCCGCCCTGGCCTCTGCCTCGCCTTGCCCTGCGACAATGGCACCCCCACCCTGCCTCGCCTCACCCCGCAGGACGAGCCTCCTATCTCCTGCCCACTGCCCCATCTGCCAGAGACTCCCTGGATCTCCCCCAACCCTGCCTGGCCCTCACAGGCATCCCTCCCCACGAGCAACATCGAGGTGACCACACCCACCTTGGCCACATCCACCCAGTCTACCATGACCACAGCCACGCCCACCTGGCACCCAGCGATAAATAAGTGGGTTTGGGGTTGCAGTTTGGGCACTCGGTCTCTAAAAGGTTCGCCATCACTGGTTTATAGGAACAATGTATAAATAGTTTACAGAATTTATATATAGCTTTACAACATCAAAAATAATCAAGCAGTTCATATTAAGTACTATATATAATACATTCCATCAAATTAAAAATAATACCCAGAGAGTATACTGGGAATTAATTAATACCTATATCTTACATTTTGTGTGTGTGTGTGTGTGTGTGTGTACATAGAGAAAAACAGGAATCATACTAACTTAGTTTCAATATTTACATTGAAAATTCCACTTCCTTTACCTGAGGAAGGTACATGAATATTATCCCCTACTATGGATAAGAAGGATTTTCACACCAAACCAAAAGCATGTAGTAGCCATCTCCAAGCTGGGTGTTCCTCTATCCTTATCAACTACAGCCAACATGACCTTTAGGATTGCTTTGGCCTTGCTGCCTATCAATCTGCCACCAAGTTGGAGAAAGCAGCCTTTGAGAATTTATCTTTTTGTTCAACAATAACTGAGCAAACTGGAGCAGGGACAAGAAAGAATAAGGAATGGCCTGTCTTCTCCTATAATCAATTGTTGAAGGAAGCACAGTGAAATTAAGCTAGTTTTGAAAAGGTGGGCTAAACAGCTTGAAGTTATATTGTTTTCTTCCTCACATCACCCAGGTTTAGCCCAATATACTGCCTGCAAATGAAGAACTTTTGGGTATAAATTCTCCCATTTAGACATTCTGTTTAAAAGGTATCTTACCAATAAAATCTACCAGAATCCACTCTTCTTCTTCTTTCTCACTGAACTCTGGTTCTTGGCTGGGCAAATTACTGAGTTCTCCCACAAACATATTATTCAGCCTCTGGAACATTACTAAGACGAAACAAGACTCTGGCTAGCACTTGTTTGCGCCCACAAGATGAGGTACCACTCCACAGCGTACCAATCAAAGTTTAGGGTGCAGGTAGAAGATTAAAGTGCATAAAAACTTTTATCAGCTGAGGCACTGGATGCGGAGAGGCATGGTTTGTAAACAGTTGCTACAAAAACCTGCAGAGAAGACAATAAGAAAAGAATAATGTTAATGCTCTATGCAAGCACAAAACACATCATGCATCTGCATTCAATTCAACCTATAATTCTCAGCCACGATAATGTTGTATATGTTGTGTTAACCAGGCAAGCCTGCAGAAGAATTCTGAGAGTTAAACCCAGGGTACCAGTTTGGAAGCTGCTACAGAATCAACAAAGATTGATTTTGGTGGATTTTGGAGTGCTCATAAAATTAAAAACCAGACAAATCTGCCACCTGTGGTACTATGCCACATGGGACTTCCACAGGGCACTGTAGAAAAGGAGACCTCCCCTTTTGCCATCAGCAATGTATTTATGTTGTCAGATATCTCCTTTCCCATGTTGGCTCCCTTGCGTATTGTATTCCCCAATCTGGCTGCCTTCTAAATATGCAACGTCATTTCCCAGAATTCTCAGCAGTAACCACACTGGCTGAGGAACCTGG